CAGTTTGGCTATTGTGGACATTGCTGCTATAAACATCGGGGTGCACGTACCCCTTCGGATCACTACATTTGTATCTTTGGGGTAAATACCCAGTAGTGCAGTTGCTGGGTCGTAGGGTAGCTCTATTTTCAACTTTTTGAGGAACCTCCATATTGTTTTCCAGAGTGGCTGCACCAGCTTGCATTCCCACCAACTGTGTAGGAGGGTCCCCCTTTCTCCGCATCCCCGCCAACATCTGTTGTTTCCTGACTTGTTAATTTTAGCCATTCTGATTGGTGTGAGGTGGTATCTCATTGAGGTTTTGATTTGTATTTCCCTGATGCCGAGTGATATTGAGCACTTTTTCATGTGTCTTGGCCATTTGGATGTCTTCTTTGGAAAAATGTTTGTTCATGTCTTCTGCCCGTTTCTTGATTAGATTATTTGTTCTTTGGGTGTTGAGTTTGATAAGTTCTTTATAAATTTTGGATACTAGCCCTTTATCTTGATATGTCATTTCTAGCACAGTTTTAATATCAACTTTTTTTAATGAGATTATTGGTAGTGTGTTTTCATTCTAATAAATGGGTTGCAGATGCTTGGAGAAGAAAGGATTTCATTAAAATTACTGCTGTTAATAGCATAATTCCTAACTTTACGATTAATGAAACCATAGTAAATTCAACCAAGATCTCCTTAGCATTCTTTTATGAAGATTTAAACTAAATCTCATGGAGTTTTGTTAAGTAAATAAAGCAATGTTACAGAGCTTCTGAAGGTCGAAGGTCATAGGTCATAGTAGCCTCATGGAGTGTCATCATACACACATTTATGTCCTGATTTTTAGATTCCAACCTCTCTGTTGTAGAGAGGTGCAAATTCATAAGGAGGATAGGATAGCTGTTTGTTGGCCAGATGAGAAGTGCCATCTTTGAAAGATAGGAAACAGAAGACCAAATTTCTATAACTTTTCAAAGAACAGAGTATATGTGTTTCTCATCAAGTTAAGACATTAGAAAGTCCAACAAAACTTCGTTGAACATCTGTGAACGGACTACTGGTTGCTTTCACACTTACTGCAATCTTTAGAACAACAAAGTAATTTAATAACATGCATTAGGGACATAGATCCTTAATATTCGTAACAGTAGTATACACCCAAGGAGCAAGCAGTAATACTTAGAATGGTTCACCCATTCCTCATTCACTCTAGGAATTTAATTATTATCCTGAAAGCATAGTGATTTGAATGCCCAGTATCTACTTAAAGCCCACCGTTTTGTTTTTTCCTTTTGTCTACCTTTGTCGTCTCCAAATTTTTGTGAACCAGAGAATTAGGGTCTAGTACTATATTGAAAACTATACAAATAAAGCAAATTAAAAAAATGTAGATATGTTTTCCACAAAAATGTGTTCTCATAGGAAATACATTTAAGAGCTATTTCAGCTCACTGTTCGCAGGTTTAAAAAAATGATTCAATAATAAGAATCCCATTGACATTTGAAATAATGTATTCATTTTTACTACTTTGGGTACTATATCTCATACTTAGTTTTTATTGTCTCATAAGTATATGATAAGGTATAATCAGAACTATGTAATTTAAAATTAAAAATTGCATCATGAGGACACTTTTGAAAGAACAGAACACTAATAATAGTGGTTAATTATAAGTTAAGAAGATCTGGGACGCCTGGGTGGCTCAATTGGTTAAGCGTCTGCCTTCAACTCAGGTCATGATCCCAAGGTCTTGGGATCAAGTCCCACATCAGGCTCCTTGCTCAGCAGGGAGTCTGCTTCTCCTTCTGCCTGACTCTCTCTCTCTCTCTCTCTGACAAATAAATGAATAAAATCTTTTTAAAAAATAGGAAGATCAATGAAAACCAAAAAGTTCCCTGCCCGAGACATTAATTTTAATTAAATCTTAATTAATTACTAAAAACAAACAAGACAGTTGCTGATTATTAAATACCAAATTCTTTGACATTTACATATCATATATAAAAGGGTCATGAAAAGAATCAGAGAAGGGATTTTATAAAGAGATGTTTATAAATGAAATTTCAAAATTCCAAAGCAAAATTTCAAAAGTAGCCATCCAAGCAGATGTCCACACATCATAATGTTAAGGCAATAACATTCCCAAAAGCTGGTGAGCACAGAGCAATGCATAAAGACTTCAACATAAGAGTTACAAGATGTATTTCTTAGTTACCAATACTGATCTTTCTGGACACTAGAGTGATAAATAAAAATTGGAGTTCACTCCATGACATACTTCTCTGTCCAAAGATTAGTTTCCAGTCATAGATAATATATGGGAAGCAAAGATTAAGAAGGATATTTCCTGCATCACTTCTTTTTCTCAAGTAAACCGAGCTTAGAGCTTATTACTCAAAAATGCAATCCATGAACCAACAGCATCAGCATCTCCTGGGAGCTTGTTAAAATGCAGGACCTCAGTCCCCACCCCCAAATCTACTCAATTAGAATGGGTATTTTAAGGGGATCCCCAAGTGTTTATCATTCGATAAGTCAGTCTTAAAATGATTCCTCTGAGATAGTTTTATGCCCAAGAACACGGAATACCCTGCCAGGCTCTGTAGTGTCTACTGCATTCCATTCCAGTATTGGGGAGCATGCAACTCTTAAGGGTACTCACAACCTTGCCGTAAATGGACCTACATCTTGGCTCATGCTCAAGAGGTCTGTATCTAAGAAGGTTAGATCCCCCTTTCTTCAGTCACTGCCAAAGAATAAATAAAAAGGAAACCAAATTTTCACAAACCCCCTCTGCCTTCAGCTTGACATTCTTTAACAGCATTACTTCAGAAGGACTTGTTAATAAATTTTTGGTTTGAGTTGTGGGTTTTTTGCAACCATTTCTCACAACTGACTATGGCAGTGTCTTAATTGCAATGTAAAAGATTTATTGTGGAAGTAAATTTTAAGAATGTGAAAATATTCTGTATTTTATCTATGTATCTCTCAAAACTCTAACTTCTAAAAAATATATATAGCAACTATGAACAACTCCTCAAAAGGCCTTTATAATACTTTTGGTGGACATTACACACCATATGCTGTGTTTCTCCTGTTTATCTCTGATTATGGTATCTTTTCACCCAGGAGATCTTTTCATATTAATAAAGATAGCAAACCCCTGTCATTGAAATTTGCACAGAATTTATTAAGAAAGTCAAAATACAGTGAATCTATTGAGGCAAACAAGTCAGGTTCTTGGGCTGAAGTTCAAGTTCCTTTAACATACAAGCTGTCATTTTTACAAATCCATGAAAAATGAGTGAGGAATTTGGCTCTTAAATAATTTGGTCATGCCATTTAAAGCTCTTTACTTTTTCTTTTTTTGTTAGAAAGAAGTGAAGAAAATATATTTAAATTACTCACATTCCCACTTTCAAGTAGTCATTTTCAGTTGGTCCAAATGCATACATTGTTTGTATTTGCCTTAACAGTCAACATACCCTTTGTATTTTGCCTCTTTTAGCTAATATTATATAAGAAATGCTTTCCCATGATTCTACACTGCCTTCATAATGATCATTTTTAATGACTTCATAAAAGTCCATCCTAATGAGATATATTCTATTTACCCATTATTTTATTGTTAGACCTTTAGGTTGTTTCTAGCCTCTTGAATAGTCTCCAGCCTAGATATTTGTACATAAAATACAAGGAAGCATAGACAAGCAATCTATGAATGACTTGACAGAAATCAATTAAGATAACAAGTCTTCTACATAAATGTGCCAATAAACTTAATTCAAACATACCCTCCCAAAATGCACAAATGGCCTGTCACAAAGTAAAAAAATAAATACAAAGAACCTTAGGTGCTCCATATGATTATAAAAAATAATCTATAATCTTTGTTGTAAACTTCTTCTCTGGACCGAAGAAACCACCTCCAATCTAGTAAATGCTAACAGCATATAGTTTAACTGAAAGTATGAACAGACACAGAAGGCCAATTTAAACAGATGTCATTATCAAAAAAATATTTACCCCATGTATTAGTTACTAATACATTACATGTATTAGTTAATAGATGGAAAATGGCCAGCTTGACAGGAAGAGAAGAATGGGGCCACTTCAGTTATAGATTTCATTGAATCTCCCCAGAAGTTCCATTTTTATTGGCCTCATATTCAGTCCAAAGGTGTTGCATAAGCCCCTTCCTGGCAAGCAGGAATACATCATCAATTTCCTTGACAGTTTTGAAAGTCTACTATTCAAATTGCTCTTTCACCATCCCATTCTCCATGGAAGGTTCCAATATGTTAACATAATTCCAGATTCACTATTCTCAAATGTGCTGGCATCTGAGCAGCTCTCTCTGAAGGAGTCTTCTTGAGTGGCCAGATACATTTAAAAAATTTTAGAGGTACTCCAACTTTATATTTCTCTTACACACATACATACCATTCATACAGTGTCCTTGGCAACTACTCAATTTTTAAAAGGTTTTTTAAACTCCAAATGACATGATGGGTTATAATAATAATGCCAAGTAAATATTTATTGAGTGCCTATGCCGTGCTAGGTGCTGTTCTAAGCACTTTATTAACTTATTCAATCCTCACAATAATCCTAATAGGAAGGGACTATATTATTTCTGCTGCTTACTACAGAGGAAATTCAGATACAGAGAGGTCAAGCAACTTGCTCCAAGTAGGAGGATGCAGGAAGAAAGCTATGGAACAGTAAAGTCATGATTCAAATCCAGGCGTTCTGGCTTGAGAGTCTAACCACCTAACCACTACAGCGACTGTCTTACCACTTGATCATTTGAGGGTCTTCTGTGTTGGTCTTCTTCCATTTTTTCAGTTTCTTCTTGAGAAAAGCAAGATAATGGTGGATGCATAACCCTGTAGACCTCAAGCAATTGATGATTTCTTGGTTTTCCTGCCTCTAAATGGGTAGGTATCATAGTCTGCCAATCAGATGGAACTCTTTGCAAATGGCTAGAATAATATTTGGGGGTTTTTCTTAGAAGCCTAAAAAATGTTTCAGTACTAAAGTGAAGGAAAATATGTGTGCAACTACAACTGTAAAGTAATTTTGAATTTTCTGTCTGAAATAATAACGGATAATTCTTTTATTTTTTCTACTAGAAAATTAAAGCTGAGACTTCAAGTCATTTTTCCCAAAATTACCTAGCTAAAACTTGAAGATACTAAAATATAAAATAAATGGCAATTCTGGATAATATTCACTCAGTGGCATGCTTGGAACAAGAGACAAAGTCATTCTCAACATCCTCTCTTCTAACATGTAACTAACTCCTACTTCTTTAGCAGTGATCACCCTCAGCCCACTTTAATGATCTTGCTTTTTTTTAAAAAAAAGCAAAGGGGCACCTAGGTGGTGCAGTCAGTTAAGCATCCAACTCTTGATTTCAGCTCAGGTCATGATTTCAGGGTCCTGAGATCGAGCCCCATAGCAGGCTCTGTACGCAGCATGAAGTCTACTTGACATTCTTTCTCTCCCTCTCCCTCCGCCCCTGCTCTTGCACATGCGCACACATGCTCTCTCTCTCTCTCTCAAATAAAATAAATACATTTAAAAAAAAATAAAGGAAAACCAGTCATTGAATTTCCCTAGCTTTTTGACAACCTCCAATTCAAAACTGGATCCCATGGTTTTAAATCCTCTCTATAACCATGCATACAGGCCTAAATCCTAAAAGAAGCTCCTAAAACTCTACTTTATTGAGACAACCTACAGTTCCTCTGGAGTCCATTCCCTCAGCTGCAGTAAGTGAAATAAATCTGACTTGGACTACAGGGTTTTTTCCTAGTCCTCTTTGGTCGATGGGCTATAACAGTTGTCTAGATCATTTGACTAGATGAAAGGTGGTGCTAAGGTACACTGAAGAACAATATTTGGGAGAAAACTGACAATTCCATTTTGAATATGTTGAGTGTAGCATGGTTTTGAGAAATTCAAGCAATGTTAAAGAAGCACTGGTATGTAAGGGTCAGTACAGAACAAAGGGAAGCATGAATGCAAGTTTAAGAAGTTATCAACATAGAGATGGAAATTGAAACTAGGATATGGATGAGATACTCAGTGCAAAAAGCACAGGAAGAGAAGAATGGAGAAACTAGGACTGAATCTCTAATGACTCCAGTATGAAGATTCTGTAGAGGAGGATGAGCAATAAAGGAGGCTGAGAAAGCACATTCAGAGATAAACTAGAAAGACCAAGAATATATCATCATATGAACCACAGAAGAAATTTCAGGGCCTATGAAGTGACCAGTGGTTCAAAGCATTTGAGAGAGCAATTAAGAAGAGAATGGAAAATTTTCCTTTGGAGTTCACTGATATTTTTTGTGCAGAGATTTTTCAGAATTTTGATGGAAGGAGAAGCCAGATTAAGTGGATGAAGAGTAAGTATGAGGTAAGGAAAGTGAAAAAAGAAAGGTCTTCCAGTAGAAGGGACAGTGTGGTAATGCTATATATAGTGGTTAAAAGAATGGATTCTAGAGAGAGACTGATAAGAGTTCAAATTCTAGTGTCCCTCACTAGCTGTGTGACCTTGGTTAGTTTACTTAACTGATTTGTGCCTCATTTTTCTGTCAACTGGTGGGGGAAATAGTAACAGACCATTTGGGGTTGTGAGAAGGAATAGATCAATTAACAGACCTTCGTAAATAGTAACCTCTTAATAAGGATTAGCAACAATGATTTCAAAAACATGAGATGGCATGCCTCTGTAGGGGCCTGAAAGTAGATTTGATGTGAACAGTGAGTATGGAGATAAGACCACAAAGAGATTTGACAGGATCCTAGATCTAGAAGACCTTGAGTGCCATGCTAAAGAGGTACATTTCCTCTCACAGCATAAGGATTCATTGAGGGAGTTTAAGAAGAGAGTGATGTGATTATATTTCTATTTTAGAAAAATCACTGTGCAACAGGCTAGAGGATGGATTGGAGGGAGGCCAGAAAAACAGGAGCCCATTTCAGAAACCTAAGTGAGAAGTGATAATGCCTGGATTAAGGCAGAGGAAGTAGAAATGGAAAAGAAAAAAAATAATCCAAGGGGTAAAATTATCATGACTTGGTTACTGATTGTGTATCATAGGTGAGGGAGAGAATGAAGTCTAGGATACTCACTTTTCACCTCCAAGTTTCTAGTTTGGTTGCCTAGCTGAGTAGTATGGCCATTTACTGAGGAAGAAAGTCTAGGTTTGCTTGAGAATTAGGATTATTGTTCAATTTTGGATATGCTGTGTCTGTGCAACACCCAAATGATAAAGATATCGAATATGCAACCTAGAGCCCATAGGAAAGTTAGAGCTCAAGATCCATAAATGGTTGTCTAAGTTAGGAGTATTCAAGTGATTACTGAGGAAGAATATCTAGAGAGAGAAGAGTACTTGGAAAAAAATTAAAAACATTATTCAGAGAATTTAGGAAAATAGCATCAATTGACAATAAACAAATGTTAAGCTTCAGGGAAGGTGGTATATGGTGAAAAAGATGATGGCATGGGGTAGTTGGTTTTCTCTAAAGAAGGATTTCCAGAAGGCCTCAGTGGAAAAGGACAGCAGCAGTGGGAGAATGAGAGAGAAGAAGGAAAAACTCAGCAGTATAGACGTAAGAGCATGATGGGGCTAGCTGATAGGAGGTGCATGTGTTTTGTTCAGGTGACTAGGCGAAGGCATGTAGTTCCAAGTTTTTGGTGATTCAGAGGCCATAAAGGCCTCTGATGGTTGCTTTCTGTGTATGATAATTATCATTCCAGGCCTCTGATGATCACATCCTGTGTATGATGTTGTACACTTAGCCTGAGTCAAACCCCTTTTTCCTTACCTTCTAGCCTGGTGAGCTCTATGAGCTCTACTCACATTTCATGACCCACCTCTAAAGCCACTTTCTCTGAAGCTCTTCCCCAAGTGACCTTAGCAGGCTTAATTTTTCCTTCTTCTAAGTTTCCACAGTATATTGATATACCTGTGTCATTGTAAGTAAAACATTCCTACTCTACAGTGGAATTCAAAGACATGTACATAATTTTCCCAAGGTGACCCAGGTTTTCTGGCTCCCAAGATCAGTATTTATTTCATTATATCACTGCTCCCCTTCTCCTCCAGGAACATGGAAGAACCTCATGACTACAAACTTTTAGCCACTACTGGAGTTTATTCATTTGGCTAAGAAAGCATATAAAGGCCTGTGTCAGATAAGCTTGAAGTGAAGGGAGAGAGACTTTGCAGAGTAGACTTCGGTGCCCTTGCCAACCTCTTACCTTTCCTATAGATCACCCACATCATTTCTCCTGCCCTCCTTCCCACAGTCTCATTTGAAGAGATACTTTCTTTTTCTAAGGGTAATTCTGTTATCTGTGCTCCTAAGTCCTGACCCATAGTTATACTCCAGAACAAGGGCAAATACCTAAAAAATAAAATAAATGTTTGAGAAGGAAAAAAAATGACAACTACCACTAGACTCTGTGTTCTGTATCAATATCACCCCCCTTCCTTGCCTTTATATTATAAAGTTTGAGGTTAAGATCATGGTTGAGGGGAAGCCACAACTCTGTGTCTCCACTTCCTGCCTTTATTCATTGCCAACTCAGAGCAACCAGATGCCTCTCTACCATCCCAGCAACTGGCCAGTGCCCTTGCTGGCATCTATATCATTAGACCCAAAGGACTCTTTCTTGACCATGCTGTGGTATCTGCCATTGTTGAGGATTCCCATCTTTAAACTTTCTTAAACTATAGATGTCATTCAACTTGACCACATTCTTTTCTTCTTTCACCAAAGGGTGAACCTGGGCAGCCATATTTTATACTAAGACCGCAGGTGATAGGAGTGAGAGTAGATACCTGGTCAAGGTAGTCTAGAACCCTGATTGTGACCTGGCTCAAAAAGAAGAGTCAGACCTATCAGATTCTCTCTTTCCTAGGAATTTGAAATAGAAAACACTTTGGCATGGGAGCTAAAAGGTCATGCTGTATAAAGAGATTCTGGAGGCAACGTTTGACCATGTGAAGCCAAAATTGTGAGGGTCAGAAACTACAAATGAGCAGAGGAAGACATCCTGAGAGAGAAGAGATAAAGCCAATATAGAGAGAAACAGGCCATAAGATTTAGGGAGGTGGAGGGAACATCTGATCCCCAAGAACTTGCTTTCCAGAAGCCAAAAGAGCCACTTTACTTTAGAGTTTTCTCCTTCCACTCTTTGTTCACTTCCAGCCTTCTTTGCAGACTATTCTCTATTTGTCATTCAAATATTAGTTTTTTTTCCTTTGACGGCTTTGTTCTTGGGCCTTTTTCAATCTATATGCTTTCCAAGAAACATGGTCATGGCTTCCAAAACTGCCTGTATCTGATGATGCTCACTCAGATTTAATTTCTAGGCTAGCTCTCCCTCCTGAATCTCTCTCTTGAGCTTTTGGCCATGTTTACCCAACTGCCTGAAGGACATTGCCGTTCCCCATGGGTATTCCCCTAGCACCTCAAAATCAGCATGTCTAAAATTAAACTTTCCTGTCAAAAGCACTTTTCCTCTGATACGCCTTTTCAGGGAAGGAAACTTGTCACTGAAAACCAAAATCACCCTAGACTCCTCTCTCCTTCCAAACCACTTAAACATTAAGTCATTGTCATTCAGTCTCTTATGTTTCTCTTCACTGCCTCCCCTCTCCAATGCCACTGCTACTGTCTAAGTTCAGAGCCTCATAAGAACCTCCTGCTTTCCTTGGCATTAATCTCCTACCCCCGCCTATAACTCTTCTATGGCCTTGCCATTTTCTTACGGGAAAATCCAGACTCTTTAGCATGGCATCCAAATCTTCCATGATGTTTTTCCTGGTGCACTCCATCTAACCATAGTTCCAAAGTATCCAGCATTTAGCATGGCATCCAAATCCTCCATGATGCTTTTCCTGGTTAATTCATCAACATAATCTTTTGCTGCACTCCATCTAACCATAGTTCCAAAGTATCCAGACTTTCTTTGACTTCCATAGTATCTCAAGTGTTGCCTCCATCTGGACTTTGCCCTCACTGATCCCTCCCAGGAGGGCTAACATCCCTTTCTCTTCTAGTCAACACATTCCTACATTGTCCTTTAACATTTATGATGTTTTCTCCACGTATAAGTCACTGTCTTTTTTATGATGTCCTAACTTTGTACAGATGAATATGACTTCATTGCGCTTACTTTTAAAATGTTTTTATTCCTCCGTCCATCCTGGAGGGGCAGAAAACATATCATTTTTACTGTTTGTCCTGTGCCTAGCAGTGAACACGTTCAGAACATGCTGTGGAGAAAAGGGAGGAAATGAATACACTGATCCTCCATGGGAAAAAACTAGCCCTTCCTCTGAGAGAAAAGAATAATGCCAGGTAAGTGAAGTCACAAAATTTTATGGTCATAATTAAAAATGCCTAACAAAAACAAAAAATCCTGTCCTACACAAGAGAAAGAAAGGGACCATCCTCTTCCTCAGCAAGTGTAATGTCGCCTCAGTAATTGTAAGCAGACACCTCTAAAAGGTAGACCGTCTGTTTCCCCCAAAGGATCACTGAGCAAGATGAAACAGTTTCCCGGACTAAACAGAAACCCTCAAAAATATAAAGATTTTACATCTACACTCCTATCTTCACAAGATATCAGGGATATGAGGCTGGAATTTGCTCCATTTAGATCCTAATAAACAAAGTGAAAATGGAGCCCATCACAGAGAATGGTCCCAGTACCCTGGCAGACACAGGCAGGAAAGACTCTGTCACAGCTGATAACATTGCTAAAGAGTCCATTAGTCCCTAATTAGCTGAGCAGCCCCTGCTGCTGCCCGGCTTGAGGACAGTTTAAATAGGAATGTTTCTTAGTAACAGTCTCTATTTTGGATGTAATAAATGACTCATTCAATCCAGGATGGGAGAGTATCTTGCTGCTCTACCCTGGGTCCTCTGGGACTGAAGTGCTAAAGGAGAGATGGGGGCTATGAGTCTGTATTTGGGTGTCCCTACCCTTTGCCCACCCTGTCTAAGTGCATGATCATGTGCCACCCACCAGGCTAGGAGTGAAGGAGACTGGCTACAGCCTAGGAGACACACTAAGAGAGCCTGGGAAGGGCACCCTGAAGAAGGCACAGGAAATAGGGAGGGGCCCTTGCAAGAAGGGCTTCATTGGGCAAGGGCTTAGCACTATAACAGCTTCTGGGGAAAGGACCTGGGAAAAAGAACTTTTGCCTGGTAAAATGCAATATTTTAATATTTAATACTGAATATTCTAATCAAGAGTGGGAAACTGGGGGCAGCTGGGTGGCTCAGTCGTTAAGCATCTGCCTTCCTCTCAGGTCATGATCCCAGGGTCCTGGGATCGAGCCCTGCATCGGGCTCCCTGCTCGGCGGGAGGCCTGCTTCTTTCCCTCTCCCACTCCCTCTGCTTGTGTTTCCTCTCTCGCTGTGTCTCTCTCTGTCAAATAAATAAAATCTTAAAAAAAAAAAAAAAGCGGGTGGGGGGATGGGTTAGCCTGGTGATGGGTATTGAGGAGGGCACGTTTTGCATGGTGCACTGGGTGTTATGAACAAACAATGAATCATGGAACACTGCATCAAAAACTAATGATGTAATATATGGTGATTAACATAACAATAAAAAAAATTAAAAAAAAAAAAGCGGGGGAAGCTGTTTCAGCTTCTGCATTGTGAGAATGATTGTCTTCCTTGACATTTCCTAGGGGAGTTGGGGATAAGCAATGCATAATTCCTCCCTTGGCCATTCTTCTGCCCCAGGGCTCCAGGCAGATTTGAGTTGGATGCTTGCTCATGTTTCCTCTGTCTGACATAGTCTCTTCCCATCCTAGTTACTGCTTTCTTATTCTCCAGGTGTCCTCATATGTGTCAATTCCTGTGGGAAGCATTTGCTGATATTCTGCCCCATACCTCCACCACCACCCAAGTGAAGGGTAAGAACATCATCTTGGTCACTCCCATGTATGCTTATTAGGGCACATAGACTGTAAATTGCATGCCTACTTCCTTATCTGCCTAGTGGAACCTAAGTTCCTCAAAGGCAAGAACCATGTGATACACCTTTGAATCTCCAGATTCTGACCTGTAGCATTGTCTAATCTCACATGTTTAATGAAGGTTTATTGAAACTTTCTTAATAAGATGAAATAATATACAATATATTATGATTATGTATAGTATAAGATGAAATAATGCAGAGCTGGTAATAGTGCAATATTCTAAACTGAAGTAGTAAAGACGCTTTTATTGCAAGACAGCCTAAGTAGTAGGTCTGTGAAATGGGAATACAGAGGGCAAATCTAAACCATTTCTGTGCCATGGACCCCTTTGGCCATCTGGAAATGTCTTTGGGCCTCTTCTCAAACATTTTCTTTTAAATACAAAGTGAAATACATAATATGACAAAGGAAACCAATCATATTGAGATCGTTACTAAAAAATTTTTTTAAAGTTATAATTTAGTAGTATGTGTGTGTTTATTAACTCATTGAATAAAAAGATCATGTAGCAGTTCTAAAACTCTAATTTTTAAGTGACAATAAATGTCAACAATATTTGAAGATTCCGGCCATAACTGTAATGTGACACAGAAATATCTGTACCTTCTATTGGCAAAAGTTGCGAGTACTGCCAGTACTGCTGTTTGTTGTCCACCTTTAGAACTGAAGGAAACCCTAAATTACTATTAGCAATTAGTGAGAATAAAGAAGAACATTTTCTCCAAGCTCCAAGATCACGGATGCCCTGAATTCTATCTGTGGATCCTCTGGGCTCAGTCAACCCCCTGTCTGTGAAACACAGGGAAACAGAACACCTAAAGTAACTACCAAGAATAGCAATTCTTTCATCTTTGGAGGAATGGTATCTTCTTAAATCAGTGAGGTCTCCACTTACACTCTATAGTGAACAACTGTTTCAGAGGTACTTAGGTTTCTGAAGGATAACAATATCCACTTTATATATATAAAATATAACAGTCTACAATACTTACTAGAAAACTTCAGTAATAACAGCAGGGTGGTATTTGTTTAAAGATAATTATATAGATGAATGGCACAGACTAGTGAGCTCAGAAATCAGCCCACACCTGTTCAGTCAGTTGGCTTTTGACAAAGCTGCCAAAGCAATTCAGTGGGTTTAAATACTTTTTTCAACAAGTTTTGCAAACAACTGCATATCAAAATGAAAAACCAAAAAAGCTTAACTTTTACCACATATCACATACAGGTTACTTGAAATGGATCTTTGACCTGAATGTAAAAAACTGCTAGAAGACAACATAGGAAAAAATATTTGTGACCTTTGGTTAAGGAAAGATTTCTTAGGCACCAAAAACATGAAACATAAGTGAAGATTTCACAGATTGGACTTCATCAAATTTAAAATGTCTGCCCTTCAAAAGAAAATGAAATGCCCTGTTAAGAAAATGAAAAGACAGTCCACAGATTGGTAAAAGAAAAAAAAAATTAGCAAAGCTCCTACCTGATAAAGAGCTTGTATGTAGAATACAAAAATAGACAAAAAAAAAAAACCCTCAGTAAAAAGAAAGGCAAAAGATTTGAACAAATATTTCGCCAAGGAAGATATACAAATGGCAATGAACATGTGTAAAAATATTCATCATTAATCAAGAAAATATGAATTAAAAGCACAAGGAGGCAGGGAGATACCACTACACAACCTTTCAAATGACTAAAATTAGAAGGATTGATAATATTGTTAGAGCCCACATAAAACAAAGAGAGCTCTGAAGATTGCTCAGGCAAATGCAAATAGTACAGTTATTTTGGAGAACAGTTTGGCAGATTTTTTATAAAGTTAAACATATACTTACCATATGACCCAACAATTCCACTCATAGATATTTACCCAAGAGAAATGAAAACATATGTCCACACAGCAAATGTTAATAGTTGCTTTATTCCTGTAGCTGAAAGTCTATCACAAGCGAAATGGATAAAATTATTATGATATATTCATATGATGGAATACTTCTCAACAACAAGCAATGGACTACATGTACATGTAACAACATGGATGAATTTCAAAAGCATTATGCTAAGTGGCTAAGTGAAATAAGACAGACACAACAGATTACATTCTGTATGATTCCATTTGTATGACATTCTAGAAAAGTCAAAACCGTAGAAACAGAAAACAGATCGGTCACTGGTTGCCAGTGGGCTGTGTGTAAAGAAAGGGATCATCTACAAAGGGGCATACGGGAACTTTCTGGGGTGATGAAAATGTCCCATATGTTAATTTGGGTGGTGAATGCACGATTTGTATGTTTGTCAAATTCATTAAACAGTACACTTAAAAAGGGTGAATATTGCTGCATATAAATAATTGTATCTGAATAAAACTTGACTTTTTAAAAAATTCTAGTTTTATCAGAGAGACATTATAAATGATATTTTGTTACTAGAGCTAAATTGTCCTTTCAGAGAATTCAGTCTTAGGATTTTCCCCCAAAATGAAAGGCATTTGTGCATACTCTACAGAGAGGAACAGATGCATTGGCTCAGTGTCTTATTGAGTTTATACGCTATTTGGAAATTGGATTGCTTTAACAAATTACTTGCTAGCCAGGAAAAGCATTAAGGGATTATTTGTCCACCATGATTTCAAATTTTTCCCTAATGATAAAATCATTTGAAATAAAAGGCAGCAGCCAAAGTAGTTTTACTCAGGGAGATATTATTTCATACATAGACATGTAAGAAACGGTATAAGCAAGAAAAGGAAATATACTCCAATTTTTAAATTTTTAAACTTACTTTAAGTGTTATAAATAACAGCAAACAATTTCAATCCTAAATAGCACATATTTCAGATTTCCTTATAATCGCTTCTCAACTTAAAGACTTGAAATCACATATGAATGTGGGTGTTTAAACTTCACTTTTTGCAGTTTGAATCTTTACTTCTCAGGCCACTTTAATACCTATTTCAATGCTGTTTGAGGATACTGTTGGATTATATTACTGTTTTTACTTGTTTATGTGCTCTAATGTTTTCCTACTGTGCTAGAGAACATTTTGCTTTAATAGCATTCTATGTATTTCAAGAATTTCTTTGTGAGTGATGTGTCTTTCAATAAAGCAAAGAGAAACTTCAAAATCTTCATAAAAGCAATGTCCTTCATTTACTTGTTAATAGAACAGTAACATTATCTGCCTTATCCAAAATAATTTTTTTTCATTCATAGTAAGTGAAGAACCAACCAGCACTTATTTTAAATGAGTTTCTGTGTAACTGCCAAATTAAATGAATTAATCTTTACCTTTGGGTCTTTTACTGTCATAATGTTAGTTGTTTTAATGAACTGATGATAATTTATTTTATTTTTTTATTCAATTTTTTGCCAGAAAGGCCAAACTAACTTCAAATATTTTTCATTTTTTCCAAAGATATGTTTGATCTCCCAGTAAGTGTTTACTGTGTTTACATGATATCTCTTCTTTTGTATATCTAGATCTGCTGCTAATACACTAGCTGCTAGCCACATGGGCTTATTTAAATTATTTAAAATGAAAAGTTGTGTTTCTCGATCACACTGGACAAATTTCATGTGGTCAATAGCCATATGTGGTTTGTGGCTATCCTGTTGGAGAGCACAGATATGTAATATTTCCATCATTGTCTTAGTTCTTTTGGACAGGGGTGGTCTAAATCAGGGTCAGGAAACATTTTTCTTGAAGGGCCAAATAGTAAATATTTTAGAATTTATGGGCCAATGAGCAAAACTGAGGCTGCTATTTAGGTACTTAAGTAACCATTTGAAAAATAGATCCACTTAAAGACAGAAGAAAAAAGTAAACATTCTTAACTTGATGGCTGTAGAAAGCAGGCAACAGGCTGGATTTGAGCCATAGTTTGCCCACCCGTGGTGCAGATCTTTCAGTCCTTGATTCATTAAGCACACCTTTATTGAGTACATCTATGTTTTAAGCACTGGGCAACATATTAAGCAAAGTGTAGTGAACAAGAAAACATAGTCCCAGACCTTATGGAGTTCAGAACATAACAGGAAAAGCACTTTAACAAAAATTGCACGATTCATCAATTATTATAATTTAACAAATAAAATGAAAGGATGAACAGGATGTTATGAAAGGAAGTAACAGAGGAACCTAAACTTGTGTGAAAGATTGACTTGATTCTAAAAATTATAAATTATCTGCAACTAATATTAATCTGTAATATATGGCAAGTACTGTTTCTTACAGTCTTTGTAGTTGACCCATGTGAGAAAGATGCTATAAAAGATCTAGCTAGTATTTCTAAATGGATTTATGTTTAAATATATGGTATTCCTATATGCCATCTGTTTTATATATGGGAATTAATAGTACGTCTAAAAATTATATTTGCTAAAATAACGTTTATTGATGTTTGGTGTTTTATTTTCCTCTATTAGAGCCTTTTATAAGAATAAAAGTGTATAAATTAAATGCTTCCTTGTGACCAGAAAAACTTGTGACTAATTAACTCCTAAAGTGGCCCCAATTTCCTATTGTTTGTAATCAAAATTCAAATTGAGCCCTTCATTAAACAAAACAATGCGATGTTACTTTAACAGTTTTTTTTAACATACCAATTTTTCCATTTATGAGAACTCAGTATACAAATCAGCAAAGCAAATTAAAATAAAAATAGATGCTATACTGTCTTCCCATATATTGGCAGTGTTCCTCAAGATTTTATTTGGTTTTCTGAGCTTTTATTGCACTTTGCAGTTCATATAAATGTGGCCTTTTTTATTGCGGTGTCAAGAACTTTATATAAATCTAACTCTTTAACCACCGAGCATGTGAGAGAGATCTGAATGAGCAGAAGCCATTCTAAATTGAGCACATGCCTCGACTGACAAATGGGCCAAGCTGAAGTGGTTTAGAGATTACATCATGTGCCACATACCTGCTTTGTTGCAATAAATAAACCCCAGACTGAAATATGGCTGGTTATACATTGAGATGAGGATGAAATAAAGGGAATGAAATACTTTCTGAGGTCATGACATTGCATTTTAATTCTTCAATTTCGCTATAATTAACAAGCCCAGGAACAAATCTTTCTGCTGATTCAGGTTTAAGTTCTTTTCTGGTGGCAAGTGAAGTGCACCAAGAAGCTAGAATTTGACATTCCCTCCATTGCTTCTTAGAACAATGCATGTTGGAATAAAGCCAAGAATAGTGGAGTTTAAAAACCAATTAAAAAACAAAAAACAGTGACTGAACCCATCAAGAAATGATTCCACTTTTGAATCACTAGCTGAGCTCGGGTCTTCTATTACCTTTGCACAATTTTCAGCACCGAGCTGCTGCTGTTACTCTTTAATGCAACTCTGGGTATAAATTAAAGATGCTGGCTCCCTCGAGGCAGATCCTGAATTCATCTTTACTGAGAGAGAGAAAAAATGTTACACCTACTTAATCTAGAAGTTTGAAGGCCCCACACAGGAATCAGGTCTTAGTGTCATCTGAGGTGGAGTCATCCTGACAGCCGGCATACATTTTCCTCATGGAGCATGGGACGACTTCAGAGCATCCAGTGGTCGATCTATGGATGAGCTCACCCTGGGCTGCTTCCGTCTGAGATTCCTTTGGTCTCCAGGAAGGAGCCTCGCCCTCTTCACTCACACAGTACCATCACTGCTGAACCTGAGGTTGCTCCTTTGGCGGTTTCCATTCGCTGGAACCTTTGACGCAGGAATTGGTGCTTGTACTGAGGTGGAAAGGAGACACAGTTGGCTGCCGCGATCACAGCAGGTGGGGAGGTAGGAGTAATTGGTGCCTTGAATCTACTCCACCCTTTGTTTCTGTACAGAACCTGTGTCAGTTGGATCCGTGTGTCCTAATCCTGATTCTTGAGATCTCAACCATGTCAAAATGTCATCTGGCACAAGTTCAGACTCTACTTGCGTTTCAGATGTCCCGCCATTATCATCTATCACTGAGACCCTTCACGTTTCCTTTTGATTCCTGTAGCCCAGAAGAAGGCTAAAAGATCTGCTGGGATCTCTTTTTCCCCAGTGGAAGCTCTCTGCCTCAGTCAAGATTAATTCTTAAACCCTAAGCAAAATGATGGCCAACAATTGCCCGCCTATTTCAGAACGTGGTTCTCCTTTCTCTGGAATTTTTGTTTATGCTATTTCTTTACTCTCTGATATCATTAAAAATATGTGTTTTGTAGTTCTTACCCTTTTTGGTTTTGCTGTGAATGTGTTGGCTTGCCATGACCTACTATATCCTGCCTGAAAGCAGACCTATTAAATTCAGCATGCTGACATGTTTCATCCACCTCATTAATGTCTCTGTTCCATACAGCAAAAGAGAAACCTATCACAATGTAGTCTTTCTGGTGAGGGGACAGAAGTGAGTATAAAGTTGTGCTTTATAGAATTTGAAAACAAAGCATAATCATTTCCATGAGTATATATTTGAAGATACCACAAAAAGACACAAAACTGTTTTAAAAAATCAAAAGCGCACAGAAAAAAGCAAAATTTGAAAGTTGTCCAGTTAT